CACTAAATATATCAAAGTCTCGCTCGAACGAAAACCATAGTGGATATCCACTAGGTGTAATTTTTGATTTTGCTTACTAATAAGGATGACTTTCTCCTTAGTGGGCAAAATCAAAGGCAAAGTGTTGAAAATATTTTTTATCTCTGCTATTTTCTTTCGACGTTATTCAATAATCATTGGTTACTTATGAACCTCTACTAAAGATACCCATAAAATATTTTGCTGAATATCCGAATATCTTCTATATCCTGGGATATAGACGGACATTTGGATATATATATTAGATCCACTGGATATATTGGATATCCACAAAATATATTCTGTGCATCTCTGGGATTTCTTGTATTGTCTGGAAGATACCCATTAGATATTTTGCTGGATATCCATAGGATATCTTCTATATTCTATATATAGACGGACATTTGGATATCCATATGAGATCCACGGGATATTTTAAATATCTTGTGGATATATTGGATATCCATAAAAGATATTCTGTGGATATCTCTAAGAGTTGGTGTGTTGTCTGGGTGGGTTTTCTCGCTAGTCCAGATATTGTTTAATAAAGAAAAACCTGTTCGGTAGGTGTATTAGTTCCTGGCATACAGAGACAATACTCTACCAATTTGCCAATATTATTGTGGGAAACATCATTTTCATTAAAAGCTTTAAAACTTTTAATCAACCTGTCTGATACCGAAACACAATTTTGATTCCAATGCCCAAGTGTCTCATCTGAAGTGTAGCGCTGAACGAAATAGATTTCATCAAAAACTTCAATTAAATTTATTTCCGGATAATATCGAAGTAGATAATCATTTCATTCTTGAATAATTTGATATATATAGGTTTCATGTTTAGTGTAATCCAATTAAATCTCTCGATTTTCTCAAAATTGTCTTCCCATTGGTCCTGATACTAAAAACACGTCCTGTAAAATTTTTTCGTTGAAAATATTTGGTTTAATTAAGCCTTCTTATTCGTCCAGCTTTTTTAAATTTTGTCAAACTTACAAGGGAAGAAACACATTTGCTATCCTGTCAGCAACTTTAGTTTTAAGGTCCTTATAAATGATGTTGTTTCCAACATAGAAATATCCTGTCCTTCTATCTTTAAAATCGTGTTGTGAAACATTGACGACACATTATGGAGAAAGAAAAGCCAAGATTCGGTTTCAGGATTCTCAAAATAATTTTTAATAATTGTCGGAATTTTTTCATTAGGCGCCAAATACGATTTTAATGCAGAAAATATTTCTAAAACACGCTCTATAGCTGGTCGTAAAGCTAACCATCACTTTAATCCTAAAGTTTTTTATATTTTATATCTACAAAATTACAAAATTCTTTTAATTCACTGAATATAAAAATAGTAAATGTTGGTTTAGAGTTTTAAAACCAGTTTTCGTGTACTGGTAAAATCAGTACGAATCATAGAAATAGTATAGAAAGCCGATTCCATATATCAAAAATGAAACCATAAGGAGAAAATAGTGTGTCGGAGCTCATGCGTATAACGGTGCTGGCGCGAACAGGACCGGTGCAAGTTTTTTATTGATCGAACAAATAGTTCGCACGATATTTCAATCATACATTTTTAGAGATGATTCTATACAAAAAACGATTAAAAAATGGTTCTGACACTTCTTATTAAGAAAGATATGGCATAAAATGTGAATTAGTTAATTTTCGGCAATCATTAGTACAGTAGTCATGAGATTTTGCTTGTGATTTTAAAAATACTTTCCAGAAAAACCACGTGCTCCGGTTTTGACTACGTTTATTATTAAACAGCGAAATTATATACAAAAACTTTAATCCACAATCTAAATTAGGTACTATCACAAGAAAATCACTGTTACAATAATTAATTACTTAACCAAAAACTAAAATACTTTTTAGGTACCTACGTAACCAGAAAGGAGCTGGACCATTTATCCTAATATTGATTTTCTCTCTCCCTACGGTAAAACTTAAAACAATAACAAATTGCCTATCTACTAGGGTCGGTAACTAAACGTATATACATAATGGGCGGATTTTGTTTATACTTAACATTACACTCGCGCATTTAAATATAACTATGCATATAAATATTTACAAACAAAGATACTTTTCCAAACAGGCAATCATTAGTACTGTAGTCACGAGATTTTGCTTGTGATTTGACATCTTATTTGATAATATCATTTGCTACAACTAAATTTAATCTGGGGAGTGCAAAATAGGGCCCAGGAATATTATGTTCGATATTTTTTTACATTTTGTCAGCCGAGACTATGAGTCGTTAGACAGAAAACCTTTCATGTTACCATTTTCAATATAAATTAAAAAATTAAAAAATACTACTACATTTACTTGGTACATATTTTATTTTAATTTTGAACCCTTTTAAAAGGGTCTTTCGGTTCCATAATAAAAATTAGTTGCTGCTTACTAGAAACATTCTATATAGCCTAAACCAATTTATAGTTTGTTTTCGATCAATTTAATACAAAGATTTAAAGTTTTTAGTCAATGATAACATTCCACACCAGCACATTGCAAACCTATTTTATAAATAATAGGAATAAACTTGTAAATCATTAATTTGGTAGTTATCTCACTCATATGATTTTTTTGTTTATATGAATATTTCGATGTCTAAATATATTTTGGCCTTACAATACGAAGCGTTTTGTATCTACCACTTTTTTAATGAACGATGAATGTTGACAGGCGTGTACCTTTTTCGGAACAAGAGGCGTTTTAACGAAGGAAATGATTTTCGAACTATCGAGTTAGTTTTCGGAAAAATAGAAAACGTTTGAAGAAAGTTGTCAATAACAGTTTGTCGTTCATCTGTTTCATTTTGATCAGCTTTCATACTAAATTGCGTAGAATATTTTTCCGATTCAAAATCGAGATTCTCGATATTTCCACAGTTTATTTATAATACCTTCTAAACTGGATTTATCTATCATTTTATATACTTTATAATATATGTTCATGCCCTACTTTTCACTTTATTAACAAGTTTTTTTTAACATACTTCAAAATGGTAGGATATTCTCAATTCGTTGAAATATTTTTTTATGTATGTTGAGCGATAATTCTTTACCACGTTGTCCGATTTCTAGGATTCTTTTTGTTAGAAAAGGAAACAGTTTTATATACATTAAGTCAAGATCTGAAGATGGGATCCATAAGAAAATCATTAACATCTTTATTTTTAAAGTAGGTTTTTTTTTAAATTTCTTTAAACCTTACTGGTTCGAACGCCGTAAGGAATGAAGAAATGTAAATAATTGTTGTGCCAGCCAAAAAACGAAGAGGAAGTACCGATTAAAATATCGAGTGACAGAAGAGTTCCTAAGATTGTTGAGATCGGGTTTATGTTTTAAAATGCCTTAAAACCGATATCGATAATGTCTCCCCGTCGCTGGGCAGCCTGTATATAAATATACAGATCTCTATTTACATAATTATAATTGTTAGGTAGGTTTAGATTTGCAGACATAAATCTTGTAATAAATATAACAGCTGCCTAATACATTGATTACATTTTCATTAGCCAATGTAAAGATGTCTTTTATTGTACCTAGGATTTGACTAAACACTACACAAAACTAAAAATAAAATGCCACTTTCATCGTGTAATTAATGCCGCGTTTGAGAATCCACATCGGATGCATTTTTTACATCTCGAGCGTTTTTTATCCACATCGGACACATCTGTCCCATTACATTTACGTATACTGAATCACGTGATCAAAGATTTACTACTTACTACATCTCAGATGCATCCGATGTGGATTCTCAAACGCGGCATAAATAATAAACTACAAACGGTCCTGTAAGGGCAGCGTCATATAGCCTTGAAACACCGGATTTTACTGCTATTGCCAGGTCAATATTGAATTTGTAGGTGAATCGCTTATTGAACATTAAAAATACGGTATTAATGACATTAATACGGTATTTTTATATATTTTTGGGAATGTAATTACACATAAATATTATTAGTTGATTATTTAAATGTTTATAAGTTATTTTGTGGCGATATTTCGTAGATATAAACTGTTTAAATCATATAATTTAAAAATTAATTAATTTAAAATTCTTTTCTGTTAGGTATGTTTAATATATTTGGCAACACTACAGGGACAAGTCATGCATATTGCGCAAGCTTCTAGACACACTATTTTGCGATGTCAGGCGCAGAGACGCGTTTTTATGCACAGTAGGTTTCAATTTCTGCTTAAATGTTATGTTTATATTGGTCTTCTATATTATTTCTATGGTACGAATGGTCACCTTATTGTAGGCAGGGCCGTCCTTAGATATTCGGCGCCCTTGGGATACTAAAAATAATGCTTCTCTTTTCATAAGAAAATACACGAGATTGCTAGCGGGGTGACTGGCAAAGTTATACAAATGTGTCTGAATTAAAAAATGTTAATTTATTATCATTATACTAAACAGAAACATAAGTAACTTACATATATTTATTATCCTAGCTTTTTTGTTGAATTGATAAAATATTTTTTCACTAATTAGTATTTTTTCCATTGATCTAATTAAATATATTTTGAAATATTCACATTTTTCTGTAGATTGGTTAACAAGGTGTTTCTTTTATGCATGTATCTACTACTAACCAACCTACGGTTAATTATGAGTACTTTTTACGGTCAAAAATGCCATTTTCCGTAAACTGCAGCCATATAAAATATACAGTACGTTAACCAACGCATCAAACAAAAAAAGATGATTCCCTTAATTATATTTGAACGTGAAATAATAAAGGGAAATCGCAAGGAGGGGACATTGTTGTCCGCAGTCGGCGAAGTATTATTTCATATCTGTCTATTTAATAGCATTGGTTTTCTATACCGTTATCCTGGAGTCAATATTGGAAAGTTAAAATGCTATATATTTTGTTTAATTTGGAACATTTCAAATTATCGTTTGGAACCTTTCTTCATATTCATTATGATTTATATAGAAATTTCTTTTCAGAAACCTGTATCCACGGTACGATTTTTCAACCGAACAGACTATTATACTGTCCATGGCGATGATACGTCGATTGTGGCCGAATTTTTATCTACCTCGGCAAAATACATGGGCAGTATACCAAAGTTAAGCTACATATGTTTAAATAAAGCCCAATTCGAATCGATTCTGAGAGAATTGCTACTCATCAGGCAGTACAGAGTCGAAATTTACGTGAAAACCTCTTCGAAGAACAACAATGACTGGGATTTGGAATACAGGGCGTCCCCAGGAAATTTAACGCAAGTGGAAGATTTGCTGTTCGAAAATGCCAATTTTGATTTTACTAATTCTGTTATGGGAATAAAAATAATACAAAATAAGGTAAATTATAAATTTGTTATCACAATGTTATTTACTTAATTTACTTAACACCTTAACGACCGCGTGCTAACTATAGTTAGCACACTTTTATTTTTCCCTGGAACCGCGTGTTAACTTCAGATAGCACACATGATATTGATATTTTCACAGCTATAATATCGACAGGACACACATTAACAATGCTAAATATATAGATTGCTGTAGTTGGCGGTCCTGGTGACTCGTCGATAATAGCGGGTTCAGCATGGGGCACACCAAAAAAAATTGAGATGTCATTTATCTTGTGATGTGATTTTTCAGTAGCTGTATAGTTACTAATCTACATGTACTTTAAATATAGAAAACTATTTAGAAAAAATACTTTTTTCTACGACCGTGTATTTTTACCCACTTTCCCGCACGCATTTTAGTTTTGAAAGTGTCACTTTCCCGCACTAGTGCGGGAAAAAATCACTTTCCCGCACTAGTGCGGGAAAGTAAAATTATGAATATTTAGCCTTACCTATTGTATAGTTTTTTTACCTCGGATGTTATAACTATTGTTACAATAGGTAATTTAGTATTTTCCAACTATTCCATTTAATAAAATTTACTTTTTTTCTTGCTTTTTGTTATAATTTTAATTTTTTGGAAACCTTGAATAATAGAGATATTTTTATATACCTTCTTTATATTTTTAAAAGTCAGACTAGGCTGTGACATGTATGGCTTGATATGGTTGCTATATGGTAACCAAGGCGTGTTATTGTTACAAAAACGTCAAAGTTGTTTGTTGAAGCGTCAACTGAATTAAAATAAATTAAAGAAATAATGGATTCATCGGATGAAGAGCTGCCCGAGGCCATTTTAAAAGCTGCAAATGAAGCACATTTGGAGGTGTTACCTGCCAAATCACGAGGAAGATATGAAAAACAATACGACCATTTTGTCACATGGTGTAAACAGGAAGGGGTAAACACCTACAAAGAAGAGGTGTTTCTGGCGTATTTTTCGCACCTAAGTAAGTTTTTGAAATCTAATACTTTATGGTCTCGCTATTCGATGGTGAAAAGTTTAGTAAAAATAAAACAAAATTTGGATATAAGCCAGTTCCATAAGTTAACGTCATTTCTAAAACAAAAAAATGTTGGATTTCGAGCACAGAAGGCGCAGGTTTTTACCAAAGAAGATATATCCAGGTTTATGTTAGCCCCTGATGAGGTATACCTTATGATTAAAGTGAGTACCATTTTTGCTTTAGCTGGTGCTCTCCGCAGAGCGGAGCTTGTAAATATCACTCTCGATGATACACAAGATAAAGGCAATCTGATAGTTGTGAAAATTTCCGATTCCAAAAATCATTCTTCAAGATCATTTGTTTTATGTGAAGAAATAAATAATGGAAACTTTCTGAAGCTGTACAGAAAGTACGCAGGTTTACGACCACCTACCACTCCGCATCGCCGCTTTTTTATTAATTATAAGAAGGGAAAATGCTCAATTCAGTGCGTTGGCGTAAACACCTTTGGTAAGATGCCAACAGAGATTGCTGCATATTTGCGTCTACCTAATCCTGAACGATATACAGGACACAGTTTTAGACGTTCTTCAGCAACATTCCTAGCAGACTCAGTGAAGCTATAACCAATATAAAACGTCTCGGTGGCTGGAAGTCCACTACTATCGCTGAAGGCTATTTGGAGGTCTCCGAAACACAGAAGAAAAACATTTCGAATAAAATTCTTTCAAATAGAAATGACTTGCAACCTTTGCTGCCACCGTCATTTTCACCTTCATGCGACCTGCAACCGATGTCACTCCCGTCCACGTCATCTTTTCAATCTACGAGCGTTACGACTATTAACAGCCAATTAACACCAACTAATTCCTCTGTACCGGCAATTTTACATAATTTACAAAATGCTACAAATTGTGTATTTAACATTAATATCCATAATAATTAGTTGTTTTTATTTAAAGATTTGTATATGTTGAAATAAAATAATTTTTCAAAAATAATTTTTCCTACTTTTTTTGTATATACGGTCGTAGAAAAAATAATGTTCCTAACTTATGCGTAAAGTGTCTTTCCCGCACTTGACCGCTTGCCCGAACTCCGCTTCGCGTCGTTCGGGCCAACTGCAGTCGCGTGAGGGAAAGTAACACTTTCCGCACTTGTTAGGAAAATAACTATATTTCATAAAGGAATGCAAATATTCTTATAGGAAAACGTTATTTTATTTTGTTTTTGCTGAATGAGATGAAAAAATAATCTAAACAATAATCTTTTTTGCAAACTCCACACTCATACTTTGATCTGACAAATTACTGAGCTGCAATCCGTCCATGCAGAGTTTTGGTTCTAATATAGCTAATATAGCAAATCCTATATCTAATGGCTTTTTTCTGTAAATCTCAAACTGTGTTCTTCTTCTTCTCCTTCTTCTTCTTCTTCTTTTTCTTCTGGTCATCAATTGGCTCAATGGTGACTAAAGCCATGGCTAAAAGTTCTTTGAACTTCGTGATCAATATTTTATTTTGTGTAAAATCATTATATACTATGAAAGCATTTACCATTGCTAAACCAAACCTGATTTCGGTTGCTAGTTTTATATACCATTTAGTTCCTCTTTTTTGACACGTAGGCTTTCATATAATGCGACATGTCAATGTATGCTTTAAATTTAATATAGTCAATAGGGAGTTTTAGCAAACAGCCGCTAACCATCCGCTAACGTTACCTTAGGGATAGACTGTAATCTACTCCGTTCAATGTTTATGAAAAAGGTCACAATCTAAGTTTAACGTAACGTTAGCGGAAATCTTACGTACATTTGCTAAAACTCTCTACTGATGACTTCGGGTTTTTCTATTTCATTTGTCCGTTTGTTTTTGATCTTTCCCATTTGGTGAGTGTGATATTGTGCTCAAGATAATGAGTTATCTGCAGTTAGCACGCGGTCCTAGTATTTGAAATCAAGCGCTCGGACCGCGTGTTATCGAGATATTGCACGCCCAAAAACAATATTTGGAAAAAAAAGAAAAAAAATTACAGATATTATGAAACAATGTTTTATTAAGTTTCTAATATTTCAAATAAAAAGTTGCCGGTCCGTGGGGCCAGATTTGGCTTTACGACAGCGGTCGTTAAGGTGTTAATTTACTTAATTTACTTAATTTACTTAATTTACTTAATTTACTTAATTTACTTAATTTACTTAATTTACTTAATTTACTTAATTTACTTAATTTACTTAATTTACTTAATTTACTTAATTTACTTAATTTACTTAATTTACTTAATTTACTTAATTTACTTAATTTACTTAATTTAATTTACTTAATTTACTTAATTTAATTTACTTAATTTACTTAATTTACTTAATTTACTTAATTTACTTAATTTACTTAATTTACTTAATTTACTTAATTTACTTAATTTACTTAATTTACTTAATTTACTTAATTTACTTAATTTACTTAATTTACTTAATTTACTTAATTTACTTAATTTACTTAATTTACTTAATTTACTTAATTTACTTAATTTACTTAATTTACTTAATTTACTTAATTTACTTAATTTACTTAATTTACTTAATTTACTTAATTTACTTAATTTACTTAATTTACTTAATTTACTTAATTTACTTAATTTACTTAACTTAATTTACTTAACTTAATTTACTTAATTTACTTAATTTACTTAATTTACTTAATTTACTTAATTTACTTAATTTACTTAATTTACTTAATTTACTTAATTTACTTAATTTACTTAATTTACTTAATTTACTTAATTTACTTAATTTACTTAATTTACTTAATTTACTTAATTTACTTAATTTACTTAATTTACTTAATTTACTTAATTAACTTAATTAACTTAATTAACTTAATTTACTTAATTTACTTAATTTACTTAATTTACTTAATTTACTTAATTTACTTAATTTACTTAATTTACTTAATTTACTTAATTTACTTAATTTACTTAATTTACTTAATTTACTTAATTTACTTAATTTACTTAATTTACTTAATTTACTTAATTTACTTAATTTACTTAATTTACTTAATTTACTTAATTTACTTAATTTACTTAATTTACTTAATTTACTTAATTTACTTAATTTACTTAATTTACTTAATTTACTTAATTTACTTAATTTACTTAATTTACTTAATTTACTTAATTTACTTAATTTACTTAATTTACTTAATTTACTTAATTTACTTAATTTACTTTATGTATCTATTTAAGTTACTTAATTTTATTTAATTTTACTTTATTTTACCTAATTTTACCTAATTTTACTTAATTTTACCTAATTTTACTTAATTTTACTTAATTTTACTTAATTTTACTTAATTTTACTTAATTTTACTTAATTTTACGTAATTTTACTTAATTTTACATAATTTTACATAATTTTACATAATTTTACATAATTTTACATAATTTTACTTAATGTTATTTCATGTTACTTCATTTTACTTTTTTTTACTTAATTTTACTTAATGTTATTTCATGTTACTTCATTTTATTTGTTTTTTACTTAATTTTACCTAATTTCACCGTATTTTACCTAATTTTACATAATTTTACTTAATTTTATTTAATTTTTTCCTAATTTTACTTAATTTTTACTTAATTTTGCATAATTTTACTCAACGTTATTTCATGTTACTTCATTTTACTTAATTTTACCTAATTTCACCGTATTTTACCTAATATTACATAATTTTACTTAATTTTATTTAATTTTTTCCTAATTTTACTTAATTTTCATTTAATTTTACTTAATTTTGCATAATTTTACTTAATTTTACGTAATTTTACTTCATTTTACTTAGTTTTTCTTCAATTTACCTCTTTTTACTTAATTTTTTTTTAGTTTTACTTATTTTACTTAGTTTTACTTAGTTTTACTTAGTTTTACTTAGTTTTACTTAGTTTTACTTAGTTTTACTTAGTTTTACTTAGTTTTACTTAGTTTTACTTAGTTTTACTTAGTTTTACTTAGTTTTACTTAGTTTTACTTAGTTTTACTTAGTTTTACTTAGTTTTACTTAGTTTTACTTAGTTTTACTTAGTTTTACTTAGTTTTACTTAGTTTTACTTAGTTTTACTTAGTTTTACTTAGTTTTACTTAGTTTTACTTAGTTTTACTTAGTTTTACTTAGTTTTACTTAGTTTTACTTAGTTTTACTTAGTTTTACTTAGTTTTACTTAGTTTTACTTAGTTTTACTTAGTTTTACTTAGTTTTACTTAGTTTTACTTAGTTTTACTTAGTTTTACTTAGTCTTACTTAGTTTTACTTAGTTTTACTTAACTTAATTTACTTAATTTACTTAACTTAATTTACTTAATTTACTTAATTTACTTAATTTACTTAATTTACTTAATTTACTTAATTTACTTAATTTACTTAATTTACTTAATTTACTTAATTTACTTAATTTACTTAATTTACTTAATTTACTTAATTTACTTAATTTACTTAATTTACTTAATTTACTTAATTTACTTAATTTACTTAATTTATTTAATTTACTTAATTTACTTAATTTACTTAATTTACTTAATTTACTTAATTTACTTAATTTACTTAATTTACTTAATTTACTTAATTTACTTAATTTACTTAATTTACTTAATTTACTTAATTTACTTAATTTACTTAATTTACTTAATTTACTTAATTTACTTAATTTACTTAATTTACTTAATTTACTTAATTTACTTAATGTATCTATTTAAGTTACTTAATTTACTTAATTTTACCTAATTTTATTTAATTTTACTTAATTTTACCTAATTTTACTTAATTTTACTTAATTTTACTTAATTTTACGTAATTTTACTTAATTTTACATAATTTTACATAATTTTACTTAATGTTATTTCATGTTACTTCATTTTACTTTTTTTTACTTAATTTTACTTAATGTTATTTCATGTTACTTCATTTTATTTGTTTTTTACTTAATTTTACCTAATTTCACCGTATTTTACCTAATTTTACATAATTTTACTTAATTTTATCTAATTTTTTCCTAATTTTACTTAATTTTGCATAATTTTACTCAACGTTATTTCATGTTACTTCATTTTACTTAATTTTACCTAATTTCGCCGTATTTTACCTAATATTACATAATTTTACTTAATTTTATTTAATTTTTTCCTAATTTTACTTAATTTTCATTTAATTTTACTTAATTTTGCATAATTTTACTTAATTTTACTTCATTTTACTTAGTTTTTCTTCAATTTACCTCTTTTTACTTAATTTTTTTTTAGTTTTACTTATTTTACTTAGTTTTACTTAGTTTTACTTAGTTTTACTTAGTTTTACTTAGTTTTACTTAGTTTTACTTAGTTTTACTTAGTTTTACTTAGTTTTACTTAGTTTTACTTAGTTTTACTTAGTTTTACTTAGTTTTACTTAGTTTTACTTAGTTTTACTTAGTTTTACTTAGTTTTACTTAGTTTTACTTAGTTTTACTTAGTTTTACTTAGTTTTACTTAGTTTTACTTAGTTTTACTTAGTTTTACTTAGTTTTACTTAGTTTTACTTAGTTTTACTTAGTTTTACTTAGTTTTACTTAGTTTTACTTAGTTTTACTTAGTTTTACTTAGTTTTACTTAGTTTTACTTAGTTTTACTTAGTCTTACTTAGTTTTACTTAGTTTTACTTAGTTTTACTTAGTTTTACTTAGTTTTACTTCGTTTTACTTAGTTTTACTTAGTTTTACTTAGTTTTACTTAGTTTTACTTAGTTTTACTTAGTTTTACTTAGTTTTACTTAGTTTTACTTAGTTTTACTTAGTCTTACTTAGTTTTACTTAGTTTTACTTAACTTAATTTACTTAATTTACTTAACTTAATTTACTTAACTTAATTTACTTAATTTACTTAATTTACTTAATTTACTTAATTTACTTAATTTACTTAATTTACTTAATTTACTTAATTTACTTAATTTACTTAATTTACTTAATTTACTTAATTTACTTAATTTACTTAATTTACTTAATTTACTTAATTTACTTAATTTACTTAATTTACTTAATTTACTTAATTTACTTAATTTACTTAATTTACTTAATTTACTTAATTTACTTAATTTACTTAATTTACTTAATTTACTTAATTTACTTAATTTACTTAATGTATCTATTTAAGTTACTTAATTTACTTAATTTTACCTAATTTTATTTAATTTTACTTAATTTTACCTAATTTTACTTAATTTTACCTAATTTTACTTAATTTTACTTAATTTTACGTAATTTTACTTAATTTTACATAATTTTACATAATTTTACTTAATGTTATTTCATGTTACTTCATTTTACTTTTTTTTACTTAATTTTACTTAATGTTATTTCATGTTACTTCATTTTATTTGTTTTTTACTTAATTTTACCTAATTTCACCGTATTTTACCTAATTTTACATAATTTTACTTAATTTTATTTAATTTTTTCCTAATTTTACTTAATTTTGCATAATTTTACTCAACGTTATTTCATGTTACTTCATTTTACTTAATTTTACCTAATTTCGCCGTATTTTACCTAATATTACATAATTTTACTTAATTTTATTTAATTTTTTCCTAATTTTACTTAATTTTCATTTAATTTTACTTAATTTTGCATAATTTTACTTAATTTTACGTAATTTTACTTCATTTTACTTAGTTTTTCTTCAATTTACCTCTTTTTACTTAATTTTTTTTTAGTTTTACTTATTTTACTTAGTTTTACTTAGTTTTACTTAGTTTTACTTAGTTTTACTTAGTTTTACTTAGTTTTACTTAGTTTTACTTAGTTTTACTTAGTTTTACTTAGTTTTACTTAGTTTTACTTAGTTTTACTTAGTTTTACTTAGTTTTACTTAGTTTTACTTAGTTTTACTTAGTTTTACTTAGTTTTACTTAGTTTTACTTAGTTTTACTTAGTTTTACTTAGTTTTACTTAGTTTTACTTAGTTTTACTTAGTTTTACTTAGTTTTACTTAGTTTTACTTAGTTTTACTTAGTTTTACTTAGTTTTACTTAGTTTTACTTAGTTTTACTTAGTTTTACTTAGTTTTACTTAGTTTTACTTAGTTTTACTTAGTTTTACTTAGTTTTACTTAGTTTTACTTAGTTTTACTTAGTTTTACTTAGTTTTACTTAGTTTTACTTAGTTTTACTTAGTCTTACTTAGTTTTACTTAGTTTTACTTAGTTTTACTTAGTTTTACTTAGTTTTACTTAGTTTTACTTAGTTTTACTTAGTTTTACTTAGTTTTACTTAGTTTTACTTAGTTTTACTTAGTTTTACTTAGTTTTACTTAATTTCACTTAATTTCACTTAATTTCACTTTATTTCACTTAATTTCACTTAATTTCACTTAATTTCACTTAATTTCACTTAATTTCACTTAATTTTACTTAATTTTACTTAATTTCACTGAATTTTACTGAATTTAACTTAATTTCACTCAATTTCACTTAATATTGCATAATTTCGATTAATTTCGCTTAATTTCACTTAATTTCGCTTAATTTCACTCAATTTCTCTTAATTTCTCTTAATTTCACTTAATATTGCATAATTTCACTTAATTTCACATAATTTCACCTAATTTCACTTAATTTCACTGAAATTCACTTAATATTGCATAATTTCGATTAATTTCACTTAATTTCGCTCAATTTCTCTTAATTTCACTTAATATTGCATAATTTCGATTAATTTCGCTTAATTTCACTTAATTTCACTTAATTTCCCTTAATTTTACTTAATTTAATTTACTTAATTTAAATTTCTTTACATCTTTAAATTTTAGGTCCTAGCTATCAGTTGTATTAACATCACAGATGCGAAATTTGAAGTATGCGAAATAAACGACAACGAATCTTTTTCGGAACTCGAAGGTATAATTGCCCAAATAGGACCGAAAGAGTGCATCATTCCGATAGGCGAATCAGTAGATCTAATTGCGATAAAAAATCTTCTCGAACGAAACGGTATATTAGTAGCCAGAGTAAAAAATTCAGAATTTACAAACGTCGATGTTGAACAGGATTTAAAGAGACTTTTACATTTTCAAGAAGATCAACCAAGATCTTTAGCTTCGCACAAAGAGATCGATTTGAAAAATGCTATGGGATGTTTACACGCTTTGATCAAATTTCTTAACCTAACAGGAGATGAAAAAAATTTTAACCAGTTTAAATTAAGCACGTTTGACTGTCGTAGGTAAGAAACTATCGATATTCTTGGTATATTCAAAGTTCGTTTCTTTTATCTATAATAATCTTTTATATTATTTATCTTATATAACTCCAATAATCTTTTAATTTTTAGGTTCGTGAGATTAGATAATGCAGCTCTGTATGCTCTAAACATATTTCCGAAAGTTACTTCACGTAGCATGAACTCAGACAATCTACAATTATTAAAAAGTTTCAGTGTAAGAGGCATATTAGATAACTGCGTTACTCCACAAGGTAGTCGACTTCTTGAACAATGGATAAAACAACCGTTGAAAGATTATAATTCGATCAACGAAAGACTAGATATTGTCGAGGCGATATTGAAAGATCCAGAAGTTCGTGGTCAACTAAAGGATTGGTTACCTCGAGTTATCGATCTGATGCCTATAGCAAGAAAAATGTCTTGCAAGAAAGCTAATCTCCAAGATTGCTATAAAGTTTATCAAGCTGTGGGGAGCGTGGCGCATATAGTGAATGTATTAATGAATTTAAAAAATAAATGCGTGAAGGGTCTACTTACTGATCCATTGGGAGAAATTTTTTCTGAATTACAAAATTATCAGAGTATGATAGAACATACACTGGATTTCGATTTGGTAAACCGAGGAGAGTTTTTTGTTAAAGGTTCATTTGATGAAGAATTAAATGGTAAGTTATTTTATACCAGTTTTTTAATCTCATATGATAATAATACAGGGTAACACACGGGAACCGGATGTTTTTGGAACGCATAGTATGGAGCTTACCGCGGTTAGAGGAGAGTAATTGCGATCTTACAACCTTTGTATTATTCTGCTAGACATGGGTAACGCACTAAAATTCTTTGCGTTGATACACTAACTCCGGCGCACTCTATTGCGCCAACTCATTGCGTTGTGTTATTGTGTCACACCACTGCCTGCGCCGAATGAAATCGATGCACCTCGGTGTATCGCATGATACCGGTTAGACATGGGTAACGCACTAAAATTCTTTGCGTTGATACACTAACTCCGGCGTACTCTATTGCGCCAACTCATTGCGTTAACGCAATTGCGTTATTGCGTCACACCACTGCCTGCGCCGAATGAAGTCGATGCACCTCGGTGTATCGCATGATACCGGTGTTATTCAGCGCGGGCTGTCCTTTTATAAGGGTCAAACCGTGTTCAAGAATTGGGAATTTAACTAAATTTTTTTATTTTTTTTTTTTTTTTTTTTTATTTTACAACGAATACAAAAATTCCAATTTATATAAAAAAGATATAACTTTTGTATACTAGTAGCCAATCAAAATGGGAAGAACTAAAAACTGACAGTGTACAAGGTTAAAATCCATAAAATTCGACCTACAATCCTACAAATGATGTGACATGTTGCAAAGAACATAATTACTTGATAGATTTTGGGTAATCTGCATTACGAGTTGTATCAATTACGTAAATTAAAATTCTCAACTCGTCACGGATAACGGAATCGGCGCCTGGCGCATGGCGCATCAACAACTCGCGATCCTTTCGACTCAGTATCGAAAATTGCGTTGCGCTGATACAGTAAAAACTGATGTATCAACGCTCGTAACGCATACAACTGCGTTAACGCAATAACGCAACGCAGCGCTGCGTTACCCATGTCTATATTGTGCTATTTCAGTAACAATGGCGCAATGGACAGTAGAGCATCGAATGTTTGCATACGACACGTTTATCCGAAATGGTGAGTCAGTGATAACTACACAGCAGCTTTATCGCATTCACTTTAATATTGCTCGACGGGGAGCTGTTCCGTCTCGCAACACCAGCATAAGATGTGTCAATAATTTAAGAACAGTTTGCAGTATAATGAAGAAAAAGTCACAAGGTCCACAACGTACCATGAGAACCCCTGAAAACGTAAAGCGAGTGAGAGAGTCGTTCATCAGAAGTCCTTCACGGTCCGCCCGAAAACAAGCAATGGAGAATCGGTTAAGAGAATCTTGCATAAGGATTTAAAATTCCACTATCAAAAACTACAAATTTTTCAGCAATTAAATCATAGATTCTAATGTGAATAGATGGGAAACTCAATGTTAATATTCTGAGTCGATGTGCTGCATAGAAATAGTATAGAAAGCCGATTCCATATATCAAAAATGAAACCATAAGGAGAAAATAGTGTGTCGGAGCTCATGCGTATAACGGTGCTGGCGCGAACAGGACCGGTGCAAATTTTTTATTGATCGAACAAATTGTTCGCACGATATTTCAATCATACATTTTTAGAGATGATTATATACAAAAAACGATTAAAAAAATTTCAAGTTAAGGTAAATATGGTTCTGACAGTCCTTATTAAGAAAGATTTGGCATAAAATATGAATTAGTTAATTTTCGGCAATCATTAGTACAGTAGTCATGAGATTTTGCTTGTGATTTTAAAAATACTTTCCAGAAAAACCACGTGCTCCGGTTTTGACTACGTTTATTATTAAACAGCGAAATTATATACAAAAACTTTAATCCACAATCTAAATTAGGTACTATCACAAGAAAATCACTGTTACAATAATTAATTACTTAACCAAAAACTAAAATACTTTTTAGGTACCTACGTAACCAGAAAGGAGCTGGACCATTTATCCTAATATTGATTTTTTCTCTCCCTACGGTAAAACTTAAAACAATAACAAATTGCCTATCTACTAGGGTCGGTAACTAAACGTATATACATAATGGGCGGATTTTGTTTATACTTAACATTACACTCGCGCATTTAAATATAACTATGCATATAAATATTTACAAACAAAGATACTTTTCCAAACAGGCAATCATTAGTACTGTAGTCACGAGATTTTGCTTGTGATTTGACATCTTATTTGATAATATCATTTGCTACAACTAAATTTAATCTGGGGAGTGCAAAATAGGGCCCAGGAATATTATGTTCGATATTTTTTTACATTTTGTCAGCCGAGACTATGAGTCGTTAGACAGAAAACCTTTCATGTTACCATTTTCAATATAAATTAAAAAATTAAAAAATACTACTACATTTACTTGGTACATATTTTATTTTAATGTTTAACCTTTTTAAAAGGGTCTTTCGGTTCCATACTAAAAATTAGTTACTGCTTACTAGAAACATTCTATATAGCCTAAACCAATTTATAGTTTGTTTTCGATCAATTTAATACAAAGATTTAAAGTTTTTAGTCGATGATAACATTCCACACCAGCACATGCAAACCTATTTTATAAATAATAGGAATAAACTTGTAAATCATTAATTTGGTAGTTATCTCACTCATATGATTTTTTTGTTTATATGACTATTTCGATTTCTAAATATATTTTGGCCTTACAATACGAAGCGTTTTGTATCTACCACTTTTTTAATGAACGATGAATGTTAGCAGGCGTGTACCTTTTTCGGAACAAGAGGCGTTTTAACGAAGGAAATGATTTTCGAACTATCTAGTTAGTTTTCGGAAAAATAGAAAACGTTTGAAGAAAGTTGTCAATAACAGTTTGTCGTTCATGTGTTTCATTTTGATCAGCTTTCATACTAAATTGCGTAGAATATTTTTCCGATTCAAAATCGAGATTCTCGATATTTCCAGTTTATTTATAATACCTTCTAAACTGGATTTATCTATCATTTTATATACTTTATAATATATGTTCATGCCCTACTTTTCACTTTATTAACAATTTTTTTTAACATACTTCAAAATGGTAGGATATTCTCAATTCGTTGAAATATTTTTTTATGTATGTTGAGCGATAATTCTTTACCACGTTGCCCGATTTCTAAGATTATTTTTGTTAGAAAAGGAAACAGTTTTATATACATTAAGTCAAGATCTGAAGATGGGATCCATAAGAAAATCATTAACATCTTTATTTTTAAAGTAGGTTTTTTTTTAAATTTCTTTAAACCTTACTGGTTCGAACGCGGTAAGGAATGAAGAAATGTAAATAATTGTTGTGCCAGCCAAAAAGCGAAGAGGAAGTACCGATTAAAATATCGCGTGACAGAAGAGTTCCTAAGATTGTTGAGATCGGGTTTATGTTTTAAAATGCCTTAAAACCGATATCGATAATGTCTCCCCGTCGCTGGGCAGCCTGTATATAAATATACAGCTCTCTATTTACATAATTATAATTCTTAGGTAGGTTTAGATTTAGATGTAAAAATGTCTTTTATTGTACCTAGGATTTGACTAAACACTACACAAAACTAAAAATAAAATGCTACTTTCATCGTGTAATTAATGCCGCGTTTGAGAATCCACATCGGATGCATTTTTTACATCTCGAGCGTTTTTTATCCACATCGGACACATCTGTCCCATTACATTTACGTATACTGAATCACGTGATCAAAGATTTACTACTTACTACATCTCAGATGCATCCAATGTGGATTCTCAAACGCGGCATAAACAATAAACTACAAACGGTCCTGTAAGGGCAGCGTCATATAGCCTTGAAACACCGGATTTTAGTGCTATTGCCAGGTCAATATTGAATTTGTAGGTGAATCGCTTATTGAACATTAAAAATACGGTATTAATGACATTAATACGGTATTTGTATATATTTTTGGGAATGTAATTACACATAAATATTAGTTGATTATTTAAATGTGTATAAGTTATTTTGTGGCGATATTTTGTAGATATAAACTGTTTAAATCATATAATTTAAAAATTAATTAATTTAAAATTCTTTTCTGTTAGGTATGTTTAATATATTTGGCAATACTACAGGGACAAGTCATGCATATTGCGCAAGCTTCTAGACACACTATTTTGCGATGTCAGGCGCAGAGACGCGTTTTTATGCACAGTAGGTTTCAATTTCTGCTTAAATGTTATGTTTATATTGGTCTTCTATATTATTTCTATGATGTGCTGCCATCTATCAAATTGGAGTGGTACTAAAATTCAATATGGCCGCTTAGCGCGGGCTTTTTGAAATTTAACTTTCTGCTAGTCGCGCAAAAATATAATGAAGAAAATCAAACAAAAAAATAAATTGGCAAAATATTTGACGAGTTTCAAATCATAAAACAACCATATTGACTGTTTTGTGATTTGAAACTAGTCAAATATTTTGCCAATTTATTTTTTTTTTGTTTGATTTTCTTCATTATATTTTTGCATTAATTTCAAACTTGAAATAAAATGCAATTTATTTTATTTTTTTTTATTACAGTAAATTAAAGCCGCTTCATATAATTTGTCTATTTAAACATGGAAATAGGTTTTCTGTAACAAACTCGACATATTTAAGTGCTCAAGACCAATATAACAGTTTTGCAACTTGGAGTGGCAATAAGTTTGAAAAAACTGAAGCATTATCCTTTTGGTGTCTTACAATCAAGGCGAATTTGAGGATGGATAAAATTTGCCATATGCTTATCGAGTCGACTAGTTAAGTTGAGGAACATTTCTTCATCCGATATTGTTTTATTGATTTATTTGTACAGCACCTGTAGTTATCAAATTCTTATTCATCATCTGAGCACTGTGATAAATAAATGTAACTTTCGAGCTTAAATTAAACTTACACACGTTTGGACCTTTGAAGATTTTGGGGTGTTTTCTTGTTTGATGTCAATGGCATTGAATCAAATTTTGATATTGATGGCTAAGGCTCAAATATTTCATCGATCTACAGGGT